TGACCATCTTCATTGTTTTGAAACAAATGTAAGTTGTTTCAAAACAATGAATGTAAGTTGTTTCAAAACAATGAATGCAAATTGTTTCAAAACAAATGTAAGTTGTTTCAAAACAAATGTAAGTTGTTTCAAAACAAATGTAAGTTGTTTCAAAAAAAATGTAAGTTGTTTCAGAACAAATGTAAGTTGTTTCAGAACAAATGTAAGTTGTTTCAGAACAAATGTAAGTTGCTTCAAAACAAATGTAAGTTGCTTCAAAACAAATGTAAGTTGCTTCAAAACATGTGCAGCAACAGTTTCATTTGATACTTATAAATGCCACCAGAGTCTGACTATGGCAGGAGCATACAGGGCTATTGATCCAGGCCTTCACAACAGAGGGGGCCCCCAAATTAAATAGAAAGTTTATTTTACGTTTCCTTCCTGAACCCTTTTTTAAACAAAATATCAGTACAGTGTAAAATTCGCCAGTTTTATGATAAAATATGGCTCGTTAGTTTTGCTTCATTAATCTGTCGTATGAACACAGAATATCTATATTTCGTAAATTCATGGCTTTCTAGAGCGGAATTCAGCTAAATTTTCTCAATTGCGATTAATAAATTTGGCTAATCAAAACCTCTATTTTTACACATCGCAAACTGCGATACGTTTACAAAAATACGTTTTCTTGATTGGCTTAATTGAGCCATCGCAACTGCGAAAAATTCAGTTGCATCGTGTTAAGCGGATTCTGTTAGATTTTCGCAACACTGAGAAATCACAATAATCAATTATAAGTTGTATTTTCTCAAAATTCTCACAAATTGTCAAATATTTTCTTGAATAATTAATTTCATTTGCAAGACTATGAAAATCTATCTGGATATCTTCCCAAATATCGAATGAAAATGCATAGTGATAAAAAACTTAATATAATAATAAGGTGAAAAATTTAAATACCACCATAAAGTTCGGTTCTTCTTAACTAAAGTAGTGAAGCAAAGGAGGGCCCCAAAGAAATTTTTACCCCGGGCCCCAATCAGGCTAAGTAGGGTCCTGAATGCCACTTTACAATATGTAAGGTGAACGTGTTCCTTTATCTCAAAATAATGATTAATAACACATTTCCATCATTGTTTTCATTTATCTTGCCGAAGTAAAAACATTCCTATCAACTATAATACATCTATGCAAAGTAAAAAAAAAAATCTACATCTTGTCCTGATATCGTGCGATTCTGTTTTTAGACCAAATGCAATCAAATTTATCCGATTTTTTCAATTATTGCAAAAATTAATTGGGAAGGTTAAAAGTTAACTGTTCTTACGAAAAAATTTTAATTTCTGGAACAAGTCTTTTTTTCGAAAATATAAATGATAATTCTGCTTTAAAAAATAAAATATCAATGAAGCGAAAGTATCGTAGCTACAATAAGTTTTTACCAACTTGAAAGTTTCAGATTTCAACAACATTTAAAATCGTAGTGATTTAAAAATTAAGATAAGCAGACTGTTGGTTTAATTTTACCTGAACTTTAGGATGATTTCCCAGCACTATTAATAGGTTTTAATGTTAATAGGTTAATAATGTTTATTTCACGTAGGAATCAAAATTATTATTAATCAAATTCCTTAAATAAAATAATGCATTGCTACCATTTTAAACGTTGAAGAAACCATCAGTGTTAATTGTAAAAAGACTCAATATCCGTCATTAACAATTTCAGTATCCTGATTTCTACCTAAAATCTTTGAAAGTCTGATTTTTAATAAACTACTAGTACCTAACATTAGAAGATAGCAACGAGTTTAAACCTACATTTACTACTTCTTTTTTCTCTCCTTAAGGGCTCTAAATAAATACAAAAATGTTTCAAATTACATGATTAATGAAAATAATAATCTTTTCAGTCGAAAAACATAAAACTTAAAAATGGAAAAAAATATTTTATGAAATATAAACTAATTTAATCGTGGTATATAATGAAGAAGCATTTTCAATTCCTTACTTACATTTTTAACGTATTGTAGAAAAATGAAAAAGAATTATTTCACATTAAGAAAGACTTGTAATTAAATCTCTCTAAACTAAATTTTACTTGAGATTGACCTTGGGTCAAATTTGCATATCATAATGAGTATGCATCAATCAATACTGACACAAATGAATGTAAACATGCTTTTATCAGACAGATTGCGGCGATCTTTTTCTCTTCAACTCTTAAAGATAGTACACAGATGGTTATGTAATATTTTCATTGATGAAATTCTACGCGTGACTAATTAATATTAAAAATACAAGCAACTAATGGTATGTTGCTTTTTAGAAGAAGTTTTTCAAACCTTGACGGTTTTTAGTGAACTGAAAATTTAAGAAAATTACATTATCTATAAAATTAAAGAAATGGAATTAGTTATATATTTGCATGAAAACTTTATAACTAAAATATTATAAAATTAGGAATTAGTTTTTTATTTTACTATATTTTATTCAATTTCTTAGTTTTAAAAGACAAATTTAAACACGAAATTTTACTATCGGTATATATATATATATATGATTTGGTTACAAGATTAAAAGAAAAATCCAAGAATAATGAAAGCAATCCGAGAAGGAAGATGAGCAAAAGAACCTGATTTATTATATTTTTTAGTTCAAGATAGCGATTTTTAATTTTTTTTTTATCTGAGTAGCATCTTAAAACCTATTTAATTAAATTGCTGAATTACTCTAAAGTCTGTAATCATAATTGCAAGCAATCATTATCTACTATTTCAAGTAATCTGCAAAATTAAAATTGATTTGAACTAAATTATAATTGAAATGGATTGACTTATGATTTCAGTTACAAGACTAAATGAAAATTCCAAGAATAAAAAATGAACAAAACAACCTGATTTATTAAATTTCTTTTTCATTCACTTTTGTTATCTTGGTAGCATTTTTAAAACTTATTCAATCAAATTGCTGAATTACTCTAAGAACTGTAATCATAATTACAAACAATCATTTTCTACGATTTCAAGTAATCTATAAAACTAAAATTGATTTGAATTAATTTAAAATTGAAATTCATTGATTTATGATTAAGTTGTTAGATTAAAGGAGAAATCCAAGAATCAAAAATAAATAAAAGAACCGGATTAAATATATTTTTTAATTCAATTTTTCTTTATTCTGATAATATTTTAAAATCTTCTCAATTAAATAGCTGAATTACTCTAAAAACTTATAACTACAAGCAAATCACAACTGAGATGTCGCTTAATTTGCAAAATTAAAATTGATTTGAATTAAATTAAAATTGAAATTGATTGATTTTTGCTTCAATTACAGCATTAAGTAAAAATTCCACGAATAAAAGATGGACAACCTGCTTCATTATATTTTTAATTCACTATTTGTTATCTTGATAGCATTTTAGAAACTACTAAATTAAATTGTGAAATTCTAAAAATTGCAATCATAGTATAAGTAATCATTAGCAACGGTTTCAAGTATTCATGATTTAAGAGTGCAAGTCAATTGATCATTTACGATTACAGGTTGTAATGATTAAGATTACAAGTAATAGTCTTCTACCTATAGCATATAATAATGACATATAATTTTAATTACAGTTATAATCATAATTGCATATTAGCATAAATGCAAAATTTTATTTCATTATAACCAACAACATTTTGTACAACTCTCCATGTTATGATGCAGCTGGAGAAACCTAATCTTTCCATAATACTGAGTGAATTTGTATCATTTACATCTCAAATTTAAGAGTATTATGTAGTTAAAATATTTCAAAACATTTTCATCTAATTGGAGTTTGTAAAAGTACAAACAATTTTCACGATAAATCTAAAAACTTATCAACGGTACAACTGATTTATAAAAAAATTAATGTAGTTAAGTTCTTAAAAAAATTTGAAAATGGTATAGTTTTTTTTTCGGAAATTTGTTTTAAATCATAAATATAATATGTTATATCAATTTTAAAGTTCTTTTCATGAAAATCTAAAAGTGGGCTAAATAAGAAAATTTAAATTTCACTTAATCTTAAATTTGGCACAGTAATGAAATTTTTGTAGATTTTGTCAGAGTAGCCAATATTGTTTATACAATATATCCGACATTATTCACAGATATTTTATTGTATTTTAACGTGATTATACATTTCAAGTTATTTATATTATAGAATATACAAACAAAATTTAAAAACTAAGATGTAGAAATATTAAATTTTGAAACTAAAACAAAAAAAATGTATCGAAACAGTTTCGAGTTTTAACCTCGTTCACAGCTTTATATCTCAAAATAAATAAATGCATGTTATCTTTCATAAACTTTCAGTGTTTATACTATCAAAAATTTGGGAAATAAGAGAGTTTCGATAAATAATACGTGTAATTTTTATATATTTAGAATATTTTCTTTTATAACTTATTTATGCTATCTTAATGGGAAAAAAAGGAAAGAATGAAAAGTGTGTAATAATTTTAATAGAGATTTGCTGCTTTCTTACTAATCTTTATTTTTATAATATTGTTTATCTTATACATTATAATGGCTATGTAATATCAATATATATATATATATCTAATACTAATGCATAAAATACATAGATATAAAATACTTATACTATACAAGTGCTTAAATACAAAACAATGTTTTAGCTTGGACGGAAGTGTTGAAGAGTAAAATGAAGCTTAATTGAAATGAAAAATGTTAACATTTACTTTCAAATAAACATATTTAATACCCTTATCTTTCAATAAATATCCCTAGTGAATAAATTAGACTTTTGCGTATTATAAATAACAAAAATGTCCAAATAATAGCATGCACTCATCCCATTCAAAATATTTGTTTACTTTTTATTTTGACATGAAAAGTAACCAACATTTAAAGAATAATCATTTTTAGTAGCGCCAATGAAGAAGTATGTGTTGAAAAGTACTCGTCACACATTTGTAATCAGATAAAAAATCAAACTGTTAAATGAAGCATGGTAAAATACTCACTTCTTTGATAATCATCTGATTTTCCAGGTCTGTAGCCAAAAGGAATCCCCAATCCACAGTACTGTCATTTTTCTGCAGAAGAATATTAACTAAGTTTGCCATAGCTTGAATTGTCTCAAATTTTGTTAGCTTGAATTGTCTCAAATTCTAGAGATTGTAATTTGGACGAAGTAAGTAATATTTATTTCTCCATTTCAAAAAATAGTTTTTGTTCTCCGCGATCGAACTGGACTATCGTGTCATTCTATTTTGAACTCTTCGCGGTTTAGACTTTCTCTGGAGAACCATTGGAGAGGGTTGCTGTATTGACTGTGATAATTTGATAGCCGGTTTGCCAATTTTGGCGACAGCTTTGAGATGATATTCTCAAGCTGAATGTGAATAAAGAAATAGAAGGAAATATTTTTTTTTAGTTAGTGTGTCATTAAACTTTAGTTTCATTTGTTCAATTAAATTTTGTCTCATGTTTCTCAACTTCTAAGTCCTTAGAGAGAGTAAAGAAGAGAAAGAGAGGATTTTTGAAATATTTTTTCCGGTTGAATTATTTTTAATGCTTACATGATTGTTACTAATATTATTCAAACAGAATTTAAGTCATACGTTTATTGTAAATCAATTATTATAATTTAAAATAAAATTATGAATGAGGAATCGACATTTGATAGAAAATACTACATTTACCAATCAACACGCAATTTTCATTTATGAAATAACCATCTGCTTTTGTCGAAATTCCAATTTCTTATAAGGTTATTGCAATTTCAAGTGCTTTTCTCACGAATTTTTAAATTTTTTTTTGTGATTACAACTCTATGGAAGAAGCAAATGGCAAAACCCTTAAGTCCATTTGAGAAAATGCCTCACATGTTTTTTGTTCTGACTTTCAATTTAATTCGCATTTCTAAAGATAGATGAAATTTTGAATTTTTCAAACACCCTGTGTATGTTGTCAACTTAGCTATATTTATTTCATTGCACACAATAAACGACAATAAAAATATTCAATATACTGTTAGGTAGTGGCCGTCTGGAGGCTTAAAAAAACTCTGCTTTCTTCAGGAGAATATTTTTTCTCTCTGACACTTTACCGAGTTTACTGTGGGAAAATGTTGGTATCAACAGGAAAAATCGATTGGAATTATCTTTGGATAAACGAATTTTAAAATTTTGTATCTAAATTTTTTTAATTCGTTTAAAATAATCTCGAGATATAGTGAAGCCCGCAAAAGTAAAATTAACATTACGGGATCCAAACTTTGAATCGCTCTCCTGATCAAACTATGAGGACCATATTTCCCATATTGCGGCTGCTCCTTGTGCTTTGGGGGACAGAAATCTGAATCCATCAAAAAAAAGTTATGTTTATTCAGAGAAAGTAGGTGTTTGTGTCTGATTTTCTAACTTAAAATATCGCTTGCTATAATTATAAGCATATTTGAGATCACCCCATCGATCGATTAAGTTCGAGTTCTAGAACGTAAAGATCCGATCATCAGATTAAAGGTCATTCAGGGTGGTACATTTTTTTTCCTACTGCAATTTACATTATTCAATTCACCATCCATTTCCAATATTTTGAAATAAATACCAGCAACTCTAATTTAGTTTGCACCCTTTATTTTAACAAGATATGTTGGTACTTTATTTACGTCACGCTAAAGCTGCACAACGGTTTTTCTGATTTAACATTTTTAAGATCCATTTTTATTTAACCGGCATAGGTTTTTCGACTTTCCAATTCATTGGACTATGTTTAACTTGAAATATAGATATAAAAAAAGGGCTAAGAAGTAATGGAATCAAGCCTACTATTCCCAAGCTCCAAAGTATGTGGTGGAAAGACCAAGACAATATCATATTAGTTGCCACTCATCTAAAATAGACTTAACTATGAAGGTTATAGGTTTGCCTCCAGTTAACGTTAAAGATCATTTGAACATCCCTGCGAATATTATTTCAAGTTGAATTTTGTAATTATGCAAACTTTTAATTTCTGTATATCTTCTAACAACAGCTGCAATCGCATTCTCGGCACCACAGGAAATATACGAATTTTTAATTTTCGCAATTGACATATTCATGATTTTTGCGTAACCCTAGAGAATTGTAGAATCTTAATTGATTGATTTGTTCATTTACGTCGCACTAGAGCTGCACAATGGGCTACGGGCGACGGTCTGGGAAACATCCCTGAGGATGATCCGAAGACATGCCATCACAATTTTGATCCTTCGCAGAAGGGATGGCGCCCCCGCTTCGGTAGCCCGACGACCTGCACGCGAAGTCGAGCACTTTACGGTAGAACAGTTTAACGAGGACCAATACCGCACACCCTCGNTAAAATGAAAATAAGATATCACTAATCTGAATTCCTAAAAAATTGTCACTAAGATCCTTCAATTACCCCTACACACCTACGCAGATATATTCACAGCAATCTTAATTATAAATAGAAAATCAAAGCTTAAGTAATAAGCATCAGTTTCTGACATGGACAACAAATAATTTATTGTAAATAATTATCACAAAAATTCTTTGAGAATTCAAATAAACATGTTAAGTGTATATTAATTACATATTGCTTATTAAAATTAGTGTTAAAAAAACTATAATCAAGAAGAATCACTAAAAGAAGATGCAATCACATTCACTACTGCTATAAGAAAGACACCAATAACAGTTAAATTGTTTATAAGATCAGCTCTTGAATGATGAGAAAGTCTGTTGATGTCATAGCGAGAATTTACAATTAACATCACGCCGACGACGATCTAAAAAGGAAAAATTACAGTTAAACAGATTAATTTAAAACAGGTTATTAACAGAATAATTGTCACAAGCCGCTGATCAAACTAAAGAAAAATTTATAAAAATTGAAAACTATTTTTTAACCCTTTTTCTTCAAAGATTATCGAAAATCGATTCAATTTCTTGATAAAATAATTTCGGTTACTACACACACTCCATCCAAATTTTACTAAATCAAGTTATTGATTTAGACATACTTATAATGATAGATATAATAATCAAGTCAAATCACTTAAATAGATAAAATACCGCTTAAGTCTATAGACACTTTTGAATCTTTTTTGTGATTGCAACTCTATGGAAGAATCAAATGACAAAACCTTTAAGTCCATTTGGGGAAACGTTTCACATGTTTTTTCTGAGTTTCAATTCAATGCGCATTTCTAAAGATAGATGAAATTTTGTATTTTTCGAATACCCTATGTATGTTGTCAACTTAGCTATATTTATTTTATTGCCCACAATAAACGACAATAAAAACATTCAATATACCGTTAGGCAGTGGCCGTCTGGAGGCTAAAAAAAACTCTGCGCTCTTCATAAGAAATTTTTCTCTGATATTTTACAGAGTTAAAAGTTGAAAAATGTTGGTATCAACAGGAAGAATCGAAATTTTCAATTGCATAGCATGGAAGAGTTTAATAAAATTCCCCCTAGTATGGTTGAGTTTCGCACTTCTAAATCGAATTTCATCATTTACGAAGAAAAAACACTGAGTATCAGCTAACTTTAAAGTTAAATCACCCAAGCTGTGAAAAAAAGCTGAATTTTTCAAATCAAATTCAGAGTGCTGGCCGAATGTCTAGTCTTTCTTGAACTACAATAAAGAACTTCATAGGCTCATTTGTCAAAGTCAGTGTTTGTAAGCGAATAGCATATAAACGTTTAATTGAGGTAAGGCTATTAACTCAATCTTCTTGAATTTGTATACGTGGGACGAGCTTCTTGGAAATTGAGTCGCATACCACTCTATGATTTCTAATACCACTGTAGGTCCCACGGTGGGTGGATTGACCATAAAACACTATTGCCAGTAGATCACCGAAGTCTACTATCACTGGCTGCGGTTTGTCAGCTATTGAGTGACCATATTGATCAGACTGCGAATGGATCGAGAGTTCACGGTATTGGTTTTCGTTAAACTGTTCCACCGTAAAGTGCTCGATTTCGCGTGTAGGTTATCGGACTATTAAAGCGGGAGAGCCATCCCCTCTGCAGAGGATCAGAATTGTGATGGCATGTCTTCCACGCAGCATCAGGGATGTATCCTAGAATTTCGCCAATAGCCAATGAAAGCCTTGATGGCCCAGGGGATAGAGCCCCGTCTCCAAAAGAGGTGAACCGGGTTCGAATCCCACCAATGACTTTTCAATATGAATTCCGCACCCGGCTCGCACCAACCACAGTGCTGACGTAAAATCCTCAATGGTAGACGGATCTTGTATTAGAGTCCCCTGGCAGTCAGGCTAACCGTGGGATATTTTCGAGGTTTCCATCTACATGTAACGCAAATGTGGGTTAATTCCATCAGAAAGTCCTCCATTTAGGCAATTTTCTCCCAATACTTGAATCAAGAGTTCCCTTGTTTTCAGTTTGGTGTTGAAATTACAAAGGCTACGGAGTTTAACATTGGTAGTCGTAAACACAAAAATTGGGTCGGCTGTTAAACGACGGTTATATAGTTAAAAAAAAATAGCCCATTGAACAGCTCTAGTGCAACGAAAATAAAATACTTCTACTATTAATACCGTTCTATATAGCACACAAGCCCGTATGTGTGGGCGTTGCCTCTGAGAACATTACAGGTTTGCTCACTGAAAAAAACTCAATGCTATAAACTATTAAGTCTGCTATACTACTCAGCCTCTCTGACTGAGCAGTGACACCGCTCCTCCGAACTCTCAGAAGTGTGGAGGGTACGGACTCGAATCCAGCCGACGCTGTCAAAGTATCTTTAACGGTGTCGGAAATTATTTCTTTTTCTTTTAATTTAATAGTAGGTAGTTGAGAAAATTTGGAATTGTAAGGTATACAAATTTTTACATAATTTTAAAAGATACAATTTTATATAGCATAATAGAAAATTTGGGCAAAATCGGTATAGTTTCTTAGTTATTACATTTTAAAAAGCCGCAGATTTAAAATTCAATTTCTCAGAACTATTGGTCAGATTCTTTCAATTTATTTATTTTTTTATTTTGCCATAGAAAATTTCATTCGTTGCAATCTAAACCTTTTTATGCTTTGCAATTCAAAATTTTTTCAACCATTATTAAATTTAATTCTAAAAAAAAATGCCAATTGATGCAACTTATATTTGCATGGAATTACCTTAGGATAAAAGAGTTTTATAATTGGGGACAAAATTATTTCAATTTGCCTAACCACGTGATATGACGTAATACGCAAAAAGTAAAATTGACATTATGGGTCTCAACTTTCGATAGCTCTTCTTATCTAACTAATTAGACTATATTTTTCATATTTCGGGCTACCCCTATATTTTGAGGGTCAGAAAAACAAATCTGTTGAATAAAAAAATTTTGTGTGATTTCATAGCTTAAAATATTATCCACACTAATTAACTAGTATGCTTGTGAAACCTGGACCATATCTTGTATGGATGAGGTTATATTTGGTACCTTTGAAATGTCTTGAGAAGTATTTTTGGAGGAATTCAAAAATATGGTGGGAGACTTAGAACAAATTTAGAACTTTATCACTCATGTAAGGAACCTGACGTTAACTTTATCAAGCGATAGAGAATAAAATGGGCAGGCCACGTTAATAAAATGGACGAAGACAATACCACGAAAAGAGTTTTCAGTGCCAGACAGGTTGGCACACGAAAAAAAGAGGTAGGTCGAATTTGAGATGGATAGATTGGTCTAGAAAGAGACCTTTTGGTCTTAAAAGCAAAAAACTGGAAAGCGCTAGCAGGAAAAAGGCTAGCCTAGAGAAAACGTCTTGATAAGGCCAAGGCTCACAATGTGCTGACGAGTCATTGATGATGAATTAATTAGTATATTTAAGTTTATTTAGTATAGTTAAGGATGTAGATTGATATATTTACGGTTAAATCGATTTTTTTTTCAGTAGCTATTTTATATATGGATCAGTGATATTTAATAATTTAATATCGATCAGTTATGTTTATCCACATGGTTACATAATTTGATTTTTCGCTTTTTTGTTATTTGAATAGCAAAATTAATATTTGTGTTAGATATAGTATTTTTATTTAAACAGGTTTAAACTCAAAATATTTTTCCTTGTAGGGAGTATGTGAATGATCGTAATTTTGAGTACTTTAAAATTATTCCAATTATCCAAACCTTTCTGGACCACGTAAGAACACTGACGTATTTCACTGGTCCTTCAAATAAATCGGTTTGAGTCTAGTCGACTGATTGTTACCAAGTGCTTTTGAAACCTTCTTCCACTCCAAAAACACTCAAATACAGTCGTTTAGTACCTTCATTCAATGAAATTTACCTTCATGACCGTTAGTACCTTCATGAAATTTAACGACTCTGTTAAATAAACTGATATTTTTTTAGTTAAATAAAATGAAAATAAGATATCACTAATCTGAATTCCTAAAAAATTGTCACTAAGATCCTTCAATTACCCCTACACACCTACGCAGATATATTCACAGCAATCTTAATTATAAATAGAAAATCAAAGCTTAAGTAATAAGCATCAGTTTCTGACATGGACAACAAATAATTTATTGTAAATAATTATCACAAAAATTCTTTGAGAATTCAAATAAACATGTTAAGTGTATATTAATTACATATTGCTTATTAAAATTAGTGTTAAAAAAACTATAATCAAGAAGAATCACTAAAAGAAGATGCAATCACATTCACTACTGCTATAAGAAAGACACCAATAACAGTTAAATTGTTTATAAGATCAGCTCTTGAATGATGAGAAAGTCTGTTGATGTCATAGCGAGAATTTACAATTAACATCACGCCGACGACGATCTAAAAAGGAAAAATTACAGTTAAACAGATTAATTTAAAACAGGTTATTAACAGAATAATTGTCACAAGCCGCTGATCAAACTAAAGAAAAATTTATAAAAATTGAAAACTATTTTTTAACCCTTTTTCTTCAAAGATTATCGAAAATCGATTCAATTTCTTGATAAAATAATTTCGGTTACTACACACACTCCATCCAAATTTTACTAAATCAAGTTATTGATTTAGACATACTTATAATGATAGATATAATAATCAAGTCAAATCACTTAAATAGATAAAATACCGCTTAAGTCTATAGACACAGGATTCTCTATTAGTTCAAGAAGGGTTTCATAGATACATTTAATATATTTCCATAACTTTAAATAAAAAAATATTTATATATATTTTAATAGACATCATAGTTGTTTACTTTCTAATGCATATTTTGAACTTAGTTTACGACCATTTTAAAGTGTCTTAATATTACAAAATGAGAAAAAATGTAATGAAGTTTTCATATCTTCTTGATACTTTTTATCACTCCTCAAAATTTATCAAATTTTGCAACACCCTGTATGAAAATAACTGATTTATAATACAGGCAACGTTGAATTGGTATTTAAACATTGTTCATTATTGTAAGAGAGTAGTTACATTAAAAATAAAGTATTAAAAGACGTTTGTTAGATTCAACATTCATTTTCTTTAGTGATTCGGGTACTTTATTGGAATTGTAAAAACAATGATATCGGATTTGTGATCCATAGCAAACCTCAGGAAACAAATTGGCATAAAATTACTAACATTAATTAAAGCTTACTAAACTTTCAGTTTAACCCTCTTATAAAGATTTCCATTTTTTTAAAGAAAAAGAAAAAAAACGTTATATACATCAGAATTTCGATAACATACAAATAATTAAGTCACATTTTTTAGATTGAGTTAAAAATTGAACAATAACCCGTCTATTCATCCTAAAAGTCTTGCAGTTTTCATAAATATAGTTATTTATAACTGTCTAACGACGACGAAGCAAATAAATTAATAAAAAAGTTGGAAATTTGAACAAATTTATTTGCAAAAAAAGACGAACAATGGATGATCGAGGTAATTGATTTTAAAGGCTTATTTATGACTTAATATTAAAAAAAAAAAAATTATATTCTGAGATCTTCTAAAATTAAAAAAAATTACACCACATCAAATAGAATAAATAATTTTATTATAAATTACATTTATAATATATTTTAAATGTAATTGCTGAATAGATGTTTGCGAAAATGTTGAAAGATTCTAAAACTAAAGATGTCCTGAAACATTTTTAATTGGTTTTTATTCATTGCAATTTTAAGAGAGATAAATAATTAATATCTGTATGATAAGCTAAAAACGTAGAATGACTGTTTTGTCCATTGTTCAGAACATTTTTATTCTTTTTTGTTAAGACCACCTTAATCATGCTTAATGCAAACGTGTATTTTGTAATCAAACTGTTTTGAACAACAACAAAAATTTCTATCAATAATAATACCTATTTTTGATAGATTCGTATTTCTGATCCGGATGAAGCGATTATTATACGGACCTTTAATCTAAACTGCATAGACCACTTTTTTTAAGACAACACACAAAATCTACAAAGTTTTTCTTAAGAAGAGTGAACAATCAAAATTCCTAGTCTTCTTTTTGCCATATTTTTTTAAAAAAATACTCGACTAATAGTTTCATTTAATAACCTAATTTTCGATCACAGAATGTAGTTTCTAAGAGAATAACTTCAAAAAAGTAGTTTAAATAAATTTATATTAAAACTGTTCTGTCGACTTAGCTCAAATTTCAGATTTCTCTTTTTAAAATTAAGTTGTTTATGATGAAAAATTTGAATACCTACCTTACAGTTCAAAATAAAAATTTTTATAAAATTCTGATTATCACTAAAATAGGTAATTATCAATTAAGGTAAAGTTTTAGAAGAAATTCAAATATTTTTTATTTGAACACAAACTTTCAAATATGTAACAACAAAAAATCTAAGGGCATCGACCGCTCGCATGGCTAAACTATTCTGCTCATATCATCCAAAGTGCAGCTACCTCTCAAACATCGAGAATCAAAAAAACAAGAATCAGTCAAGAGCGAAAAGAAAAAAACTATATTAATTCCGCAGTCGGCTTGCATCGACTACAGTGCTGACGTAAAATATCCTCAGTGGTAGATCATGGGTTGGAGTTCCCTTGCCGTCGGGATAACCGTGGGATGTTTTCATGGATTTCTTCTCCACGTTACGCGAAGGCAGATCGATACAAATTCTGCACCCAGTTCGCCCCGACCACAGTGCTGATGTAAAATATCCTGAGTAGTAGACGGATTACGGATCCTGAAGATCCCCTTGCCGTCAGGCTAACCGTGGGAGTTTATGGTGGTTTCCATGTAGAGCAAATGCTGGTTAATTCCATCAAAAAGTCTTCTACGAAGTCAAATTTCTCCCAATACTTGATCCAAGAGTTCACTTGTCTTCTGGATTGGGTTCAAAATTACAAGGCTACGGAGATGAACGTAAGCAATCGTAAACCAAATTGAGTCGGCTGTTCAACGATGGTTATAAAAAATCTGTCAAAAATATAAATATTTAGTCAAAGAAATTACATTTTTTTTGTCTTACTTTGTAAATAAGTTATCGTTTGCGCTAAATAGTTGATTTCGATTGTATCTTAATAAGTGAAGTTCCTATCATTAGAACAAAAGTTACCCAGGGTGTTTCGTTTAATTAGCTAGAAGATTGCATACACTTAAAAATCATATTACCTGTAGAGCTATGGAGATGCAGATACAAGAGACATGAATGAAAAATATGGGACTTTTATCTTGATTATATTTTAAAAGTAGTTTAAGTTGGGAAGCGTTCGCAGTGAGTAAAGCAATGTCCATCATTCCTTGGGCAACAGTTTTTTTCGTCGAATAAACATTGTTATCCAATGGTTTTCGCAGCTTAGTTATTGGTATATTCTGAAAAAAAAATTAAAATTTTACGAACGTAAGTATTCAATACATAAATAATAAAGATTTTTTTTAGTATGCAGACTTTAGTTATAACGTGCAGTCGGCTATACAAGGTTTCTCGTCATGTGCAAGTATAATATTGATATTTAAGCTAGGAAAATACAAAACTGCTATCAAAATCTAAGGAATCACTAACGAGGAAGGCGGAACAAAATAAAAAAAAACAGCTTGATGCTGCTTCTTATGACACTCGGGCAAGCTAAGCACACCAATTATTGGCCTTCGCGAATTAAGTCAGGAAGGTGCGCCTTTCGTATGACAAGAGAGCGCCGCAAGGGTGAAAGTTCACCTTAGCTTAGAACCTCCGGAATAGATGGCAGCACCACTCATTTGTGATGTCACTTCCACAATGCTGACATAGATCTAAAGGGAAAGGAAATTTTCTCATGATACTGCTCAGCGACCGATCACAAGACTTCCGATACCACAGATTTTACGAGCATGTAAATTTCAAGTAGTCGGTGGGTCTTAGAGTCGAGGATCTATCTCCGGACTCTCCTGACCGAAATCAGATTCTCAAGGCTACCACGGTCCCAAAACTGTTTTATTCCCGGAGTAAATCGAGAGAAGTTGTAGGTAATTATTAAAAATACCACCAATTTTAATCAGGCAATCAATCTGATTTTATGGTTTTTCCTCACGTCTTTCCTTCTTGCAAGTCAATGTCATATTTGTTTCTCCTTCGCTTAAATATTCATTTGCGGTCCTAATTCTGCGTAAAATTTATATTTTTATTTAAAACTGGTAACTGCTCATTTTTAACATAAAGTGATTGTTGAAATTTAAATATTTTGTTATTTTTAAAGATAAATTTACTACCACTGTTTAATTTTTAATAGTGAGCAGTGACTGATTAGAGACATCTTCATGTTCAACCTGGAAAATAAACTGCTCTTCATATTTTTTGTAAGTTTATAAAATATTAATTTGTTGCCCCCATTGTGAAAATTTTTCTGGGAAAGATTCTAAAAATGTATACTTAAGGGGATCAATACAGAAAACGCAGTATAGCTCTTATGTTTCCTGAAAAAATAAACAATAAAAAAAATTTCATTTCTCAGAATACAACTTCTCTCCTCCCCCCAAAAAAAAACTCTTTCAATTTGAGATATAGATGCAAAACATTAAACTTCCTTCACAGTTTCTTACAGTTAGAATTAGTGATTGAGAACCGGTAACCATCTTATTCCACCAACAGTAAAAAGTAATAAACAGAATGGAAAAAATAAAGAAAGAAAAGTTATTGCTTATTGTTTATTTTATTAGCAATGGTATCGAAATATATGATTTTCTTTTGTTATTTCCCATTGAGATTAACCCTCGCAATATTACGCATTGGGATATATATAGCGTTTTTTTCTTGTTCTCTATGATGAAAAGCTGGCACATTATTTTAAGCTTTAAAAATATTGTGATGACAAAAACGTAACAAATACTAACGGAAAAATAAATTAGTTTCAAATATCAAAATTTCTGAGCTAAGCGTAAATAATATTATAATCGCCTCGTGAAATTTTTTTTTTTAAAAAAGATTTTTTTAAGTTAAAAAAAAACTATTTTCTAAAATAAACTTGTAACGACAGAAGCGTTACAATAACATTATGAACTTTATGAATTGTATTAAAATAAGCAAAAATAATAAATTTTTGAAAAACATTACAATCGTCACGTGAATAAACCTGAAAGTAAGATTCTTTTTTCTAAGTATAAGGTATACAAAAACTATTTGAAATGATTTGGAACTGTATGGAAAACTACTAATGATTATGAAAGATAAAAATCCTTGACTGTAACAGATGGTCGTTTCAAAAAACGAAGTGAAACTTGAGAAACCTATTTAATTACAGTAATAAGGCATTTCACTACAAGGAAACGAAACTAATCACAGAATAGACATTCCACTACATTGTTTTTTTAAACAAGAACATTTCTATTGATGCAAATAAAATTTTCACCCAAAAACTCTTTTGGATATTTTTAAACAAAACAAGTCAAACTTATATCTCATAATTTTGTAAATAAGCATTAAGAAAACTTGAATAAATAACAATAATAAATATAACTTTTTGGTAATTACACAATTTTGTCATTTAAAAACTTCACAAGTTTTGCGCATTAATTTTGAAGTTTTTTTTTAGGTTCTCGATAATAGATACCAAACATTTATCATATTTTATAAACATAATAGTAATATTATTTATATTTTGCCTTGATATTAATTCTCGTGCGTTATTACCGAAAGAAGTATGCATTAGGTGCTTTGCAATTACTTATCTGCAGTGTATATTTTTATACCTTTATCAATAAATAAAGTGAAAAAGTGTTTACATATTTTAAATAGCAAATTAATAAGGAAATTTATAAAAAAAAGCTATCTTAATCTGTCTAATCACTAGTAACCTCAAAACCTCAATTTCAAGCTCATTCGCTATCTTAATCTGCCTAATGACTAGTAACCTCAATTGCAACCTCATTCGCTATCTTAATCTGCCTAATCACTAGTAACCTCATTCGCTATCTTAATCCTGTCTAATCACTAGTAGCCTCAATTGCCACCTCATTTACTGAAATTATTCACACCTCAAATTATATGTGTTTGCTTGAAGTGTAGAAAACGTAATTGGTGCACCTCAAAAACAATCTCCTTAAACTGGTTGCTCTAAATTAGATTTCCATCCACCTCAAGTGTGAGTCATAGTTTCATACACCTTGATTGTACACACCTTGGGGCCTCAAAGCAAACCTCGTATAAAACTCAAAAATACCTTAAATTTTTGTACGCTATAATCACATTCCTGAGTGTTATGAATTTTATTATTCATTTAAAAAAATTTTAGTTGAATAAGAAACTTTGCACAATATACGTTAACAGTTATAGTGCAAAGAAGGGGATAGATAAATTGTGGTAAAAAAAAGTTAAGAAAAAAGAATATTGAATAAGTTATTGCCAAATTTTATTCACTCAAAACTTAATATTAATATATTTAAAAATTAATATTGATGTAAATTATAATTCAAGTTTAATTATGATGTTATATTTACTAGTAACAGTTTTCACATATTGTGACAATGGAAAAGAAAAAATTATTACCGCTCGATATTCCATAAGAAATGAGGTATCAAAACAACACTTCTAAATCACACATTTGATTTAAAATAAATTTGTTGTACTAAAGCAATTTAGGCCCACATTTGTATATTTCATTTCAACCCACGTTAGCCCCTATTGTATATTTTCAAAATATATTTAATTTTAACCTTTTGACGCAGAATTTTTATTAAACACACTTTTCATATTTTTTTCATTATTTTGTATTAATTTAAGCAAAAATAAGCTGAAACTATTATATTTAGTATTTAAATAATTTTCGATTATGAAATACAGCATGAGACACCAGTGTCTTTTTCTGTGTTAAAGGTAAAATCTTTCGAACACGGCTCACTTCCAAACAAATTTTTAAATTTGATATTATTTGAATTTATTTAGACTTAAGAGAAACAGTTATTCATCATTGAAATTTCTTAAATTTACGAAATTACGATTACGTATAGATAAATTATTAAATAAAAATATAAACGAAATTTCAAACAATTTTTTTCTTTTTTTTGGATTTTATATTTCAGTACAAATATAATTCTGATTATCTAACATATTTTTTAGTGACTATTAGACCGTTTTTCACAATTAAAAACACCAAAATTTACTTTTACTTGTAATTAGAGCGTCGGAAAGAAAATATGTAAAAGGAAACATCCGCTTCTAAATTGCGTCAAAGGGAAAAAAAGGATTTTTCTTTTTCTAAATTTTACAAAAAAAAAAGTATTTTATATGTATTTAGTTTCCGCAATGAGGAGGAAAAGTTTTCTTAAATTTGAAGGAAAAAAAATAAAAGCTACTATCTTTATTCTGTGATTTAGATGGGTTTTTTTTTCAAATGTAAAAATTAAAAAAACTAAATAACCAAAACACAATTGTTTTCACAAAAATAATCAAAAGAAAAATCATAATCTGGTATATAAAAAAAATTTTTTTAAAAGGGAGAAGCTGCTTTCTCGGTCTTAAAGAATGTTGGAAAAGTGTTGAGAAGTAAAGAATAAGTCGAAAATTTTAAATCGCATCTTACATCAAATTTATGAACGCTCATTAGAGCTGTTTTGCCACTATAAAGACTAACAAGAAATATCCTTAATTTTTATTTTAATTAATTTTAAAATTTTATTCTATAAGAACTTTATTTGGAATTCAAATTTTATAGTTTGCCTTACCGGTTTCCCTTCACCAGCAATTGGCATTGTTTCCATTTCATGCTCATTTGTTCCATTTCCATCTATACAATGTTCGTCTGTGGAAGCCCCGGTGCTGTGGTCCGCCCTGCCGGAGCCTGCATCGCTAGGGCTGACGACGCCCATTGGACTAAAAAAACGAAACAAATAACTCTTCTACTTTAAAAATGTTTATGTAAAGCAGAAGACAGTCTTTTTTTCAAACAAACTTGTTATAAATTTTAAAATACTTACTATCTTGACCAAAGAATAACAAATTTTCCTCCTAAAATACGCAGACTTCCATGACAAAGCTCAATTAAGGAGTTTATTTATATTTTAAGTTTACGATAGCGACCTCTCGTGTCAGAAATTGTCATTCTCAAGAGTGGATTTCATAATAAAATGAGTCATCTAATAAGTAGCTTGTGAAGCGGAAAAGCATTGAATATTTTCAATTTTTTATTCTGATTTTTGATACATTGTACGTAGGTGAAAAAAACTTGTTTTTTTCTGTTTTTTTAGATTCGCTTGTTCTATAACTGTCATTTCACTTGTCGCATCTTGTTTCTTTCAGCGATGTTAAGATAACTTTCGGTTCTTTACAATAATTTAGTTTTTTATGAATATAAATCATCTTTATATCAATTGTGATCCTCGAAGGATAAATTGTTCAATCGTTCACTCGTTGGAAATAATTTGATAAATTGTTTCCAAATTTTTTTCCAACAATTTCAATTTCTGGAAAAGTATAAAAGCGTTAAATTAAATTATATTTGATATAAAAATAAAGTTTGTATTCGGAAAATCCATTTAATCTTGTTGAGAATTCTTTTCTACTTTTTACATCGGATCTATACACAATATATTTCTCATAATGTAATTTGTCTCTAAATATTTCCACTTACTCTATAGCTGCCGTATAACGCGTTAACTCTCAATTAATAATCTTTTATCGATGTATAAAATTTACGAAATTTATGAAATTACTTATAAGTTAAATAAAGATAATTTTTTATAAATTAAATGAAGCAAGGTCGCAAATTAGGTGATATCAACGAAATAATCAACTGTAGCCAACTGAGAATCTGATTAATTTTTTAAAATTTTTTTTAATTTATTTCAAACTCATTTCGAATTACTTCAATTTTCAAAAAATCTTGAGTGTTTCAAAAATATTTTTAAAAAATACATAATTGTAAATAAAGTTTTATATAGGAAAATTTATGTGTTTCAAAAATGCTTAAAAATGAAAATATATGATTTTAAAGGAAATTTTAAATAAGAAAATTACATAATAGGTGTGCTCAATATATAACAGGTGTGTTAAAAAATAATATTTAAAAATGAACATACACATTTTGAAATTCAATTTTATGGAGGAAAAAACTGTCTAACAATGGAAAATTTATTTACATGTCGACTTAATATGGAATTGTGAATAAAGAAATTCTACGTTTGAGATATTTATGAAACAAACTTTGCAAACTAATCAATTTACGAGAATCCGTTTTATTTAGTAAAACACAAGGAAATTTTAAAATATTGTTACTTAATCGAATCTAGTACACAGTTTTGAGATTTTATAAATAGTGCATTTGTTTTCTCAATTATTTGTGCTATTATGCAAAGTATCTGCTCCAAATTCTTCGGCGAGATTCTTTTTTTTTTAAATAAAAACTTTAGGAATGTGATTGTTTCAATTTTCAAAATAACAGAAAATATTTTGCTTTATAAATATATTTTTAAATTATTTTTATCACATTTAAACAACCTATGATTTGTCTTCAGTATCTTTTGTTACTAGCATTAAGAATTCAAAACTTCCCATTTTGAAATTTTATGTTTTTTGTTTTCCGTAAATTTTTAAAACATTATACTTCAAAATTGAAAAAAGGATAACCCAGCTTTTTAATATTTCTTTTAAAAAATTCCAATTTGTTGTCACGCATTTATGAATTTATCGAAACTTGTATTATATCACCACAAGCCAAAATCAAAATTATTTATACGTAATAATTCTTATCTAAGAAATCTAATTGCGTGAAAATATTCAGCTTGATTTGCGAGTGACATTTGTGTACCTTCCTTTTAAGCCTTTTCCTCTTTTTTTATTTCACATTCTAATTCCCATACATTTTAATATGTGTATACATTTACATTTTTGTTGTTGTTAATTTACGCCGCACTAGAGCTACACAATGGGCTATTGGCGACGGTGTGGGAAACATCCCGGAGGATGATCCGTAGGCATGCCATCACTATTTTGATCCTCTGCGGAGGGGATGGCACCCCCGCTTCGGTAGCCCGACGACCTGCACGCGAAGTCGAGCACTTTACGGTAGCACAGTTTAACGAGGAACAATACCGCACACCCTCGGTCCCTACGCAGATTAATCCAAGTGATCACCCACCCGCACACTGACTGTAGCCAGTGATGCTTGACTTCGGTGATCTGCTGGGAACCGTGCCTTAACGATCAGTCCACTGCGGGACTTACATTTTTGTATAATACATGCCGATACATTTTAATTGCATTAGTCTTTACTAATAAAAAAAAAATTTAAAAATTCTCCTCTTATAATGAAGTTTTTTTTATTATATAATTTGGTATAAAAGTAATACTTTCCACTGTGAAAAGCCTAAAATGTAAATTATTTTTAATAAGTTGTTTTCTTCTCATATTTGTAAAAAGTATTTGCATTGTTAAAAAATTTTAAAAATTTAAATAGTTAAAAAAAATTTTAAAAAAAGATCATTTCAATAAAAAGTACACACATCTAACACAAAAAATCAGAAAAAGCGAATAAAAAGAATTCAATATTTAAATATGATTAAAAGTTTGTTTCTTATTCAAGTAAATTGTTAATGTTATAAGCAAATGCTATAAACAAATGTTAAACAATGCATTGGTGTAAAATAATAGCAAATTCTCATGATAATATTTAATATAAACATATAAAAAATTATTAGATTTCACATTTCCAATCATTTACTTCCGCGTAAATCGAAACTTTAATATAGTCAAAAATATTTAATAATCCATGTATGAAAGAAAATTGCAATCAGTTTGTTATGATGAAAGTACATTATTATAATTTAATATAAGATTCTAATGACAAAAATACCTTAAAAATTCAATTTTAAAAAAAAATTTTGAGGTCGAATGTATTGGAGAAATAAATTATTCTCTCTGATGAAGATGTCTAGAAACACTATAATTAGAAATATATAAAAGAATAAATAGTTTTACAAAATACTGATATTAACGTAATAACACAGATTAAACATAAAAAATAAAACTTTAGTTCTTAATCATGTACGAGAAAAAGAACAGCTAAAATAATTCATTTTACCTGATATTATTGCAGCTATAGTTATTATTATAGCTATTGTTATTATTACTTACAATCCTAAATGACACGATGGAAAATGTATAAGTAAACTATGTATCGAGAAAAAAAAATCAAAATATTGAGGTAAGACTTATACAATTTTGTTTTAAATATTTGGATGTTTTAAACTATTATCGTTTTGGTGCTTACTATAGTCAATTATAATAAAATTTCTTGCAAATAAGCCAGAGTTTAAAAAATCAAGATTCAAAATCATTATTTTTAAATAGAAGTATTAGCGACAAAACAAATAATTATTAATTAGATAGTATACAATTTTAAAAAAAATCCATACCTTCGTATAGGCAGTGAGAATATGAAACAATTTGGTAAGTAGATGCTATTTCGCATTCAAATATGAAGTGATTGCCGGAAATATTAAGTTAAAAACAACCATTTGCGAAAACTAAGGAAATCCGTTTAGTCTATTTTAATTCTATGAACACATTTCCGGTAAAAACCCGCGAAATGTTTCCCTTCATGTGAAAGTGATCAATATTTTCTTTATCCTGTTAAAAATCTAAACATTATTTTACACATTTAGCAAGATGAACCTTGTAACGTTTTGCACCAGCGTGGCCTAAATAAGAAAAACAAAGGTCACGAGTTCGTTTTCTGAAGTAACAAAAACAAATGAATCCTCAAATAAGTGCTTAAAATAGAGCTAGAATTTTTACGGTGAGCCGATTGTTACAAATTCTAGTTCCAATGATTTAATTTTCACATCAGTAGTGACTTTAGAACACATTAAATTCGTTGAATTGATTAAAAGCTATTGTTCTGGTACAATGTGGGTGATAATGTAGATCTTCGATTCATGTCCGAAAAGTCACTTAAACATGAAAATCACGGACAAATACGTAAATGTAGAACTACTACTTTCACTCCATGTCATTTGTTTTACATTTTAGTTCATAAATTTCAGTCCCATGAAGTCGGACACGGTCAAACGCGGCTCCCAGTAGAACACCGGAGTCAAGCATCACTGGTAGTGATCAGTGAGCGAGTGGGTGACCACTTTGATCAACCTCTGAATAAGTATCGTATCATTTTATGCATCCTTTGGAGCACATCACCGAAGTCAAGCATCACTGGTTGCGGTCAGTGTGCGGGAAGGTGACCACTTGGATCAGTCTGTGTAGGGACCGAGGGTGTGAGGTATTGGTCCTCGCTAAACTGTTCTACCGTAAAGTGCTCGACTTCGCGTGCAGGTCGTCGGGCTACCGAAGCGGGGGTGCCATCCCCTCTTCAAAGGATCAAAATTGTGATGGCTTGTCTTCGGATCATCCTCAGCTATGTTTCCCAGACAGTCGCCAATAGCCCATTGTGCAGCTCTAGTGCAACGTAAGTGAACTACAACAACAACAAAATATTTCACGCGCTTATTTTCAGACTTTCGATATGATGCGTATTTCTAAAGATAATTTAAATTTTCCATTTTTTTGTACACCCATTATATATTGTCAACTTAATTATATTTATTTTATTTTATTTTGATCAGACAAGAGAGTGCGATATCAGCCTTCGCTAAACTGTTCTACCGTAAAGTGCTCGACTTCACGCGCAGGTCTTTGCGCTACCAAAGAGGGAGAGCCATTCTCTCTGCAGAGGATCGAAATTCTGATGGCATTTCTTCCAATGATGATCAGGGATGTTTTCCAGACCGTCGTCAATAGGTCATTATGCAACTCTAGTGTGACGTAAATAAACAACTACAACTAATGATAAATTTTAATTTTGACATTTAACATTAAATTGTAAATTTGACGCCCAACTTCCTTTATTCATATTGTTTCATGCATCTTCAATAAACTGAAATGATTTTAAGGCTATTGCTTAGGACAGTGACAATGAAGATCGACCGCTCGTGAAAATAACAGAATGAAAACAAAAAAAAAATAAAAGAAAAGAATGATTAAAAAATTAAGGAAAATGATAATAAGTTTTATTTCTTGCGTATAAGCTGCAAGTACATAGAATCCATAAAATAAGTCAAAAGTACGAAGAAGGCATGGAAAAAATTTATACACTAAAAAGAAGAAGAAAATTATCAATAAATAAAATGTTTTCTTTTTCTTTTTTTAAATATAAAATATTCCGTTTGATGTGGCATTTGAAACCAAGAATTTTCCCCATTGGTCAACAATATGGAAGAATATTTCATCTGATGAGCAAGGGATGATTTGGTAGCAATTTTCACCAAGGAAATGTTAAAGTTCGCTTGAATTGAAGACTTTTTTTTTTCTTAGAATTCAGACAGACACAAAAAAAATGATTGATTTCTTTAAATTCTAAACTTAATTACGCAAATATTGAGTGCAAAATTTTAATCTTAGAATGGGCTGTGTACCTTAATTTTTTTCTTATAAAAAGGGGGGAGGGGATACACCCCTACTGCCCCCCCCCCGGTTTCCCGGTCCCTGCAGATTATTTCATTACATGCATATATCTGCAGTAACTTGGAACACCGAAAATAATAAGTTTCTCAAATGAGGCGATGAAGGTCTCACGTTTGTGCACCAAAGTAGTTATAGTGCCTCAGAAATAACAAGCGTTTGTCATACAAGTGCTAACTCGTAGAACAAAAATTACTAAACCATCCTGTGCTCAATACAAAAAAAAATAAATGCATGGTAAGCTCTTTTCTAATTAGCATAGATTTAGTACATCGGCAAAAATTAACACAAAAATTTTTTAACCTTATAGTTCGGTGGTTTTATAAGCAAAATGAAGCAATTTCCAAGTAAAAACTAGTTTCAATAATATTTTTCAGAAAAATTATATTTTTACATGTCTAAATCTACAGTAAGTTAGAATGGTTTAAAAATTAGTATTCCGGAAAGCGGTAAAAGAGGTCAAAGAGGCTTTTATCCGGATAACGAGATATCACATAAATAAAATTAGTAAATTAATAAATGAGCAATAACATTAGAAATTAGTAAATAAAATAATGAAACTAGCAAGTTGATAAATAAATAATAAAATTAGCAAATCATTAAATAAAGTTGATAAATTATGAAAAAAAATTCAAAGATTTGATACACAATTTATCTTTATTTTATTAGTGATGTGATATAGTATAATATAGAGCCCATTTATGTTAATATTTAAAAAATTCAATACATGTATTCTTTCTAATTCTTACTGTTCTGTTTAATTGTTCTTTCTAAAAACGATAAAAGACAGATTTAGAAACAGTTTATCAATTAATAATTAGCGTATATTTTCTCACGAAATTAAAGAAAAAAATATTCACTGATGACCGCAATAGCGTTTAATTCGAACAAAGATGAAACTAGGACAAACCACTAAAATAATGTCTGGGCGTAAATGAGATTAACACGCTCGTATTTAACTAATAAGAGTTATTGTTTTTAAAGGATTTTGCGTGACCAAATATTGACTAGAGTGCCAAAACACCATAAATCATCCAAATAATATTTCATTCAAAATCACATAAGACTCATACTACAAACAAGGTCAAGTTGAAGATATGAATATGAACGTGATTGAACAATAAGACTGAAGAAAAGGAATTTAATTTTTGAGAAACTCATTCCCTGAGGAGGAAGCTTAAATTCGAGTTTTGTAAAGCCGAATCCTAACGAATGAAGTTCAAAGATTGGGTCACAAGATGACCTTAAAATTCAGTTTTAGTCGCTTTTTCTTTGCGTTGGATAGTGACAAAATATTTGGATAGGAAATCGTGATAACTCAGGGAGGAGAGCGATCGTTTATCAGTGAGGGTGACCTGGATTCGAATCCCAGCGATGGCAGATCGATACGAATTCTACACCCGGTTCGCCCCGACCACAGTGCTGAAGTAAAATATCCTCAGTGGCAGACGGATTATGGATCCTGAAAAAAGGGAGACGATCCCCTTGCCGTCAGGCTAACCGTGGGAGGTTATGGTGGTTTCCATGCAACGCAAATGCGGGTTAGTTCCATCAAACAATCCTCTACAATAGCGAATTTCTTGTTCTGCTTTTCATTTTGTTCTCTCTTGGTTACTGTTTTCTTCTGCTTCTCACCTTTATTTTACTATTTTTCGTCGTAAGCTTATCGTTTCTCTTTCAAATCGCTTCTGCTTCTTCGTATTTACGCCTAGAAAATCTTTTAAATGGGCACTTTTTTTTGAGCGCTTAAGACATGTCGACTGTTATTTTCCAATCTGTATATTTCTTAATCAAATAATAAATTAAAGTTGTTACCTTTACCATTTCAAAATTTTCTTACAACTTCCATACATTACGCTCACGAAAAGAAAAACGTTAGAGAGCATTACAGGGATGCTACTTATCCTTAAGATATCAAATGCTGGTAGTAATAAAATTTTGTTTTGCGTTAGTCTGCTTGAAAAGAAATTATGCATTAAAGCTATCAATTAGTAGTGGTAATCATGAATATTTAATCTCTCCTACATAAAAGAAAGAAATAAAATACTTTTACTACCAACATTTTGTATTTTCCGGATAACTAACAGCTACCGTGCTTTAATTGTAAGTGGTAATGCACACCACCTAAGTGCAGCAACTGCGTAGACTCTCATACAGCCAACTACACGGGGTGCAGAGCCCGTCCCCGCAGGAGGGAAACACGTGCCATACCACCAACAACAACAGGACTTGCTCAAAGGTTGGTTACAATAATTAAAGAATTGCAGGAACTTTTAAAAATCGAGAAGTGCTTCAACTGCTTCAGAGGATTATGGGGGAAGCCACTCTTGCACAGTAACATCTTTTTTGACTTGATTTGAACTTNATATATATATATATATATATATTTTAATTATTTAATTCATTTTCAAATTTTTAAGAATCATAATGATATTGGAATGAGGGAGACTTCCATCTTTCATACACTTTATTTTTTATTCTAGATAAGCTCCCAACAATAAAATCCCTGAGTCATTTAACCCATTAAGTATCTATTTCTATGGCATATGTCCTTGGGTTCGCCAAAATTGTCAATTTCCTTCGCCTTGTTTCTCTTTTTGTTCAACTTTGTTATGGACATGTTTCCACTTTGGGCACATGTTCTTTTTAAAAAGGCTAAAGAGTGCAAATGTAATTATTACATTCTTAACATTTGTTTTGAAAAATTAACACGTTAGTGTCTACTTAATCATCATCTTCAAAATTTATCTAGGCATCTAAAGGCGCTTACAGCCACGTCATTACATCGATGTTAAAAATTAAAGATGGTTGATAATAGAAATATCCACATCAAATGTCCAAACGCTTCAAAAATGGGGGACAACTTACTATTTAATACAAAATGCTGCATTTACGCCCACCCGACAGAGAATGGATTAAATTATTATAATTGCTCATTTAACTATGTGTTTTGATAATAAAGTGTAAAGGGCATTTCAAAGGTTTTTTATAAAATTAAAATGGCGTTACTATTTACTATCTGTTGTTACTATTATATTATTAAACTGCAAAAGCTCTAGAATTAGAAAACCGAATCAGTACCTATGAATAAGGGGATTTAAAAGCATCAAAACCTGTTT